TCGCACAAATAGCTAGAATATATCTCTGATTCGAATGTTCTGAATCCATTGTATAGGCCTTCCGTGAGTGTTGAAGTAGAAAAAAGATGAGAGATACCAACTAGGCAACCAGGTGGTATGGTTAAGCCACCTAATTGCACTTCTACTAGATTAGTTCTACTCGTTAATAGATTCATAGATAGAATGCGAGTGTCATACTCTCTGCACAAGAAATATCAGAACATTACAAGCGAATAGGGGACAGAATAGTGCTAGTGAACACAAACAACAGTGAACAACTTAAAACACCCTAAATAGTGACGAGGGATAACCTGTTCTTCACATCATTCATGGAACAGAAATGGATAAATATTTAATGACCAGACTTGCACACCACTATACTATGTAAATAATCTTTCTTACATACTTAAACCTAAACTTTGAACCCAATCCCGTGGAGCACCATGCGCTTCATGAAAGTTATGTTCAAGTCCTATAGTCCAATCTGGGTTTGCTGATTTCAAGAGGTCGAATATGTACTTGTAGTCGATTTCACCAGGGGTGCTAGGTTCATCACGAGAAGGCACTTGGGCTACTTGTATGTAGCCTGAAGAATGGATATTCATCTCATACTCATATTAATGGACACACAATCGAATGGTAGACACCTTACCTATGACGTCTTTATATTTTTGGACAGTCGCGGAGATTTGTCCACATATTTGTTGGGCGTGAAACACATCCTTTAAAATGAAATTAATGTAGAATATAAATCTTGTTACATAAATCAGAGAATAATAGAGTCTTTACCCGGTTGTTAGGATTATCCGAAGGTTTACTTCTAACTAATACTTTGCCTCTATCGGAACAATAAAATCAAAAATTGCTAGTTTTGCCAATCCACTCCCCATCGACACTTGTTTCATTGATCATAAACTTTATGAGATTGATATAACTTACTCTTTCAACATTATCATAGATCTGTCAGGATAAGACTGGCTTTGCCTTAATTTAGATTCAGTCGAGCTGTTTCATATTGTATGTATAAGCTTTGATAATTATAGCTTGTGGGGAGCAAAAATGATAAGAGGAAGATGGGTAGCAGCTAGTATAGAAAAGGAATACTTGTCTTATCTGAGGTGTGGGGTCTGTTATAGTGTCGATGTGATACTTGATTTTTCATATTGTAAATAGAGCAATTAGGAGGAAAGGCAGGCAGCCGGTTAGCGAGGGCTGTTGGATATGACTACCGTAAATTTGAGGTCAACCATCATTTTGAACAAGTGGTGTAATGCCAGCTCCCTACGCTCGTTGTTAAACTAAAAATCGCAGGATGCTTCTTCTTAGTAGCCGGTGTGTCAGGTTGAATCATGAATGCAGAAGAACGTACAGCAATAATGCTCAATTGGCATCGACAAAAAAGGGCAAATGAGTTAGCGAAATGCATCTGATGACGTCTCTCTTGGCCAAAATAAGTCTAGTAATGTCGTGCATTCATGATGAAGAATGATATAAAAATTAAGCCTCAGCGTATTCTAATCAAAAACGATGAAACTTACATACTGAATCTTCAAATTCGGCAACTTCACTGCATCAATCACTGCTTTAGCTAAAACAGAATGTTGAAAGTATGCATAATATCGTCTTTTTTTAGAACATACCTTGTTCATAACTGGAAAGAAAATAGCCGGGTATAGAATATTGGTTTATAGGTTCGATGAGACACATGAGCTTCGCCTTAAATCCAGTAACTGTTTTTTACCATTGAGTAAGATGGATAAAATGATTACATGGTATGAGTTTAAAAGAAAGGCATAACGGTAATACTATGATATCGATGACACTTTGGGAAGACAGCTCATACTTGACCAAACGAGTGACGTACTAATCCTTGCACGTCAATAGCCCCAAATAATCGTACTTTCCCTATTTATCATGAAAACCAGAGGAACACAATAGCTAAACACACATTTTTACCTCGCCCAGCTTCGTTGCAGCAAAGGCTACATTATCTTGGAAGAGTTTGGACACATTTTCATCGGATTTCGTGGGTATTCCAGCCATTACGTGCACTCTGGGATAAACTTTAGATGAAACCTTGCGCAGTTTAAGGAGGATTATTCAAGGCATGTACAACCTCACTTGTCACAGTTCAACGTTTTTGCATATTGTATAGCCGTCCCAATACTATCTTGGAACTCTTTCTTGAAAGCAGGTAACGCTGCCAAACCCCGAAATCCTTTAGACCAATCACCTAGAAAAACAAATAAGCAAAAGTGTAAGATGTAGTGAAGAGCTAATGGATTTAACACGATGATTAGACAAATAAC